TGGTAGAAAGAAAGAAGGAAATGGCAATGATCATAATAAGGGAGGGTAATCAGGCAGTAATACAGGAAGTGAAAATAATAATGTAAAAATAAAGAAAATATTAATCCTAGTGATGGAAAAGATGTAATTATTTCATCAATGGAAGCCACAACAAAACTAAGAATTCCACAGAATATAGTGATGTGATAGCTGAAAAAGAATCGAATAACTACAAAAAAAATAATACCTAGATCTTAATGTAATTATGAAGTAATTATAAAGTAATGGTAAACTTTCCATTAGTGAAAAATACGGTAGAAACACTATAGCGATACTGTAGCTGATTTAAACGTTCATGCATAGTTCGACGCCATCGTCCATTTTTTATTAGAAGTATATATTTTTGTATACCCGAATAATTTTATAATGTAAATTGATAATAATGTAATAACAACCAAGAGTTTGCTGCAAGTAAAATCATGTACTTTGTGATACATAAAAATTTATAATTTATTGTTGGAAAATAAAACGGCTCACTCAATTTCATAACGTTAAATTTTTGCGTTTATTTTTGCGGCTAAAGAAGAGCGATTTGCGCAGAATGCTACGTCAAGTTTCGTCGCATGACAGTAAAATTTTCCGCCAATTAAGTTGCGATATCCTTCGTCTTAGGCCAATTTTCAAACATTGCACTTGTGAAGCGATATCGATAATGTCACTATTTTTTAGATATTTTTAGTTATTGCTTTCTGCATCGATAACACGTACACATTGTTATTAAAACAGAAATATATTTTGCCATGTTCTCAATAATTTTGCAATTTAATAATATAATAATAGTTAATAAATATATAATATATAATAATATATTATTTCTTACCTGTCTTTTTGTATCCAAAAATTTGTATTTTTGCGATAAATAATTTCCTAAGTTTTTGTGACGTGTATTGATTCCAGTTTTGCTTCTCTGATCAATTGATTCACACACCTGTGATTTTCAATATGGAGAAACTTAAAGTGAAAGTAAAGCAGTGTCGTAAACCGCTAGGTAAGTTCGTCACCGTCGAGAGCGAAATCTGTTAGTCCACGATTCGCTCGTCGACTGCGACAGACTTCTGTAGATATTTATCGTGTTCTTAAGAATAAATTAATCAAAAAGTTATTTTAATCTTTTTAATCATATAAATTAATATTTTTATAAGTGCAGTGAGTTTCAAATTTTAAACTTTTCTTCGTTTAAAAGATAATTTTAGAAACTCTTTCAGACTGTATCAGAGAAAAACATGTTGCGAATTTTAATGATTTTATCGTTTGTCTGCTCATTGGACTTACTGAATGCTCGTCCTGCGGAGGAACCGATAAAATTCACCCTCGGCAACATACAAAATAATGCAGAAAACTCCACACCTTCGAAGCTGGAAGACACAAAGGTAAAATTTTGTGTTTATAAAATTTACAGTTATGTGCAAAATAATAGCATCGGCTGAAAAAAATGAAGAAAATTATAAATTTTAACAAAATTCCATTTTTTTCATTGTTATCTTTTTGTAATAATGAGATGAGATGTTTTATGTGTCTATTAATTGATATTTAATGAATAAAGCAAATTATTTTTAAGTTGATTAATTTTAAATTTAGATTTTTCTTTGTTTTTTCAGCTGGTGCTATTATTTTGCACATAACTGTATTTACGAAAATAAAGAGAAATGCAATCTTTGGAAAACGCAAGTCAAAAAAGTGACTTGCATATTAGATTGCTATATTCCAAAGCTTTGGAAGCAGTAAAACAGAAAGTTATTAATCTGAACTTATCTAAAAATCAACGTAAAAAATTGCTTGGTTAGTTTCTTAGTTAGTCATTCAAAATTTTAATTAGATCCTCGTGATTCGCCACTATAATTGGCAGGCGAAGTCAAAATTGCTATTTCGTAGGAATTATTAGAACGTGTCGGTGATGCTATTAGAATTGGCAGAGGAAGATTTGTCAATTTAATAATATTGACTAGAAACAACATTGCCAATCAAGCAGAGGTAATTACTACATCCATAGCATTCATATACCCAACGATAATTTACTTTTGATAACATGGTTATTCGCAGAGACTTATTATGTATGAAATATCTTCACCAGTTTATAGAAAGTCATCGTGTTATAGTTAACATCAATTTGACATTTTTTATTCGAAAATATAGAATAATTCATGAAGATCGTAAATAAAAATCCAATTGTAAACGATCAGAACATTATTCTCGTGTTATCTGAGAAACGCAAGATATATAATTTGGTGTTATTCCTCTTGCATTTACTCCCCATTTTCGCTTTTTTTTATTTTAGCCAATATTTTCTTGTTTGCATAATTATTAACAATTATTGGCGTGCTGATAAATTTTCTTCTTTTGCAGCAAATAAACAACAACTTTCAAAATAGTCTCGACCCATTAATTACTGAGTCTGACAAGCCTCAAAGTCGCAGATCTTTACCGTCTGTACAAAGTACTACGCCAATAAATCTGTTCCGTGTGACATCGCGAGAAACAGTTCGTTTAGAAAACGAGACCGCCCAAGCAATTTTAGAAAAACGAAAACCTGACACTATCATACAAGTTTTAAATGGGTTCTTGACACCAAAACCACTCGTTGATCGAATTAGGGACGAAGAAAAATATGGTAATATGGGAGATAAATTTATTGGAATAGGAAGAGGGTTCATTAATGGTTTCGAGAATCTCAGCAATTTTCTGAACTTCTTAACGGAAGTAAGTACAAAATAATAAATACATATATTAATGTAGTAAATATTGAGAAATGTTTAAGAAATAAAAGAAAAATCCTCTTGAACAAATCCACCTAAATATACAATACAGTAACTTATGAAAAATATTGTTTTCAGTTCCCTGTTGGTATCACCAAACAAGTTTCTCGAGGAGTAACGCAAACATTGAATGAATTAGGATCACGGCTCATTGGACTCCAATAATAAATATAAACAAATATAAAATACGCAATTAAAATCAAATGTACGTAAATTAAATAAAATTTTATATATTTTATGAAAAGCTTTTATTTAAAAACCATAAACGAAATTATGAAATTTCTTAACGTCATATGCGGAAATGTTAATTTGCGATAAACCAAAATAAGTTTTATTAAGTAATTAGCAATAATAACTTTATAACATTGTTGACGTAATTGACGTAATTTTTGATAAACGATAAATATATACAGCCTTCCTTTGTAAGAAAGTTCTTAATAAGTCAAACGCATGACAATATACTTTTTTAGAAATACTTCACTTGCACGAGTTGGTCTCACTCAAAGTTAAGGAATATCATTCCGTAATAGCTTAATATTTTCAGATATTAAATCTTGCGCTTAAATGTGACAATGCAGGTGTTATACATATTTCTATTGTTGGTCCTCATCGAAAGCGTTTTTGGAAGAACAGTATGTACACGTTACACAGATTGATATATCATAATACTTTTTTATCTTATTGTCATTAAATCATGTGCATATTAGTCTGTTGGAGCAAAAGCAATTTATATGATATCACTAAAAGTAATCAGTATAATAGTTTTAAATTTTTTTTTAATGTAGCAAAGCTAACACAAATTTGTGTGTGTGTTCTTTTTGGTTTATATATTCTTCTCGCTGAAGTAACGTCAAAGAATTCTTCGGTAATCGCCTATGAGATCGATACCCGAATTTAAGCAGTAATTAAAACTATTTGTCGTTTTGTTGTCGAAAATAAATTTATAAGGTCGCCCACGTAAAAATTAAATAAGAAAATGATGGTAAACCCGGGCACACGTCGAGGTGCATGTGTGTGGCGTGCGCGCAGCGCCTCATCAGGTGATTCTCAATAATCATATGTCTAGTATGACTTTCTTAAGAATCGCTACGAACTTGAGGGTGATTTAATGATTATAAATTTATAACTATTTATTAAATTAATACTTCTCAAACTGAGCAGTAATTCACCTTTAGAGGCACCGGATTATTCCAGATGATTCAATATGGAAAGAGGAGACATCAAGAAGACACATTCAAAATTTAAAATATCTATCGTCTAACAATAAGTAACTGCAAAAATTTCTGGGCGATACCCTGATATAACACAAATAAACATATACTTTATTACGTTTCCAATGTAGAACAAATAATTAATAAAAACAGCACAAAATATTGCACAAATCATAAACATCGTTGTTAGAAAATCGTTCGATTTTACCATTTGATCAGGGTTTTGTTCATAAATTAGTTATTGACAAATTTCCAAAATGTCGTCATAGTTAAAGTAGTATATGACTCACCGATATGTTAAAATTTAAGCGCATACCGATGTCGTACACGAAATTGCGCCTGTCTTGAGTCACTTGCTGGCGATATGTAAATCGCGAATACAAGAATAATTAGTCTCTGTTCACTATCAGCTAGGTAGAAAAAAATGAGCATTACTCGAGTATAAAAGAAATGCACTGCAACCCGCGACGTCTTTCGCAAGTTTGTTTCTATTTCGTTGTCTCTCAGCTGAGTAATTTGGTGATTCCAAAAGTGTGCTCGCGAATCTAGAGAACTTAATAAAGAACCTAATAAAATCTCATTTCCTTGAAAAATCAAGATCGTTGTTCGATAGCGACTCTAAATGCGTGTGCATCTGCTGTTGATTGTGTTCTTCGCGAGCACTGTCTTAGCGCGAAGTACTCGAGATAGAAGGGATACTGCTGTGGTACGTGCATCCTTTATATACATATATATATATATATTTTTAATTACGTAAATTATCTATAATTGTTGCTGCTGATATGCCTAACGTTAAAAAGGCGAAAGCAATATTCTGCGGATTAACATATAGCGAATAGACTTTTAGTACAATAACTTATCGCCAACTATTTTATAACTTTTCAAATTTTTATCAAAGTATAATAGCCGCCACTTATGATAAATTAGTTTTTATTTTTTGGAATACTAAGAACCTTCTCTAAATATTATTACATTTTTCATATTTAGGAAATCTGTGAAATAAATATGATGTTATAAAATAAAAACGTTCCATTTTCTTTTATAGTTTTATACGCATTAAAGTAATTTTATGCAATAATTTTATTTACAACTATATATTGACTTATCGATCGGCTCAAGTTATTTTACATATCGCTTCTTGATTCTGTATTCAAGGACACTGCATAAGTAAAGTTTTATTACTTTTTACATATTCTTATCGATACATATCTATGCTTCCACAGACCACAGTACAACCTCCAATCATTTCTTATACAACTGACAATGGAAATACGAACGTCACTCCTGGAGATAAATGTGATAGAATTAATTGGGGGAATAATATTTTCCGTCAACCGTTAAAGATGATGTCTAAGCTTGTTAAATCAACATTACTAACCGTGAAAAATACTTTCTCGACGTTTTTAAAAACATTAAATTCAACGGGCGACTTTATGCTGCGCGCTATGATGCAACCGGTAAGCGTAGCGTTACTTATATTTCTTTGAAAAAATCAAATTATTTTATTTTTCTTTTCTCATAAAAATATATACTCCTTTAATATCGAGATTTAATCTTGCTTCAAACTATAAATATTAATATAATTAAAATTTTATGTGCAGTTTGTGGTAACGTTAAGGATGATAATTAGAATGATGGACTGGATGCTGCAATTTGTTTAATTCGATATTGTCTAAAGCTAGTAGCATTAAAAATATCTTCCAAATTCCGGTAAGTAATCTGCAAATATATATAAGTTGAATATAAATTTCTTTTCTTACTATCGTATGATGGTTGTCTATACCTAACAATTCATTCAGTCTTCAGTTAAATAAAAAAATGAAAAATGGAACAAAGTATATGTATTATATATGTATAACCGGCTTTTTTATCACATATAAATATATTCTTTATTATTAATAATAATTTGTTCAATACACGTAATACATCACTATCGTCGTATTATCTCGATGCATTATACAAACTTTAACATCGCTTTAACTTATGATTAATCGATTGCTTCGTCAGATAACATGTAAGAATAACGATTTTTAATTTACTAAATTTATATATTTATCTATATATAATATATATTGAATACAAAAATCTTAACAAATTATTCATGCTTATAATGAAGATAATTTCATCTACAATCTCTATTGAGTACTCGGGACTAAATCACATAATCATGCACGCTATCTATCTAATTACTCCCGATTGTTAACGTTGAAAATCGATATGACGTACAATTATTGTAAAACAAAGATTTTACAATTATTGTAAAATAGTAACTGATTAATTCGCATACATAAATGAATATCGAGTATAACGATTAAAATTATCTCTATTATTAAGAAAGTAGGATAAACTTGTCCCACTAGAAAATTACGGTTTGATGATCGATCATAATCTTCATCCTCGTTATTTACAATTTGTCCTCATATTCAAATCAATTTTTCTGTTGCCAGATTTTGCTTACACGATCTATAAAAATCTTTTTCTATCTATAAACATTAAAATGGTCGACGAGTCATACATTTCTGATGCTCTCTTAAGAAAGTTAGAGATATAAATAATTATCAGCTGACAAGATTGGAACTATTCAGAAGTCGTAATAATCACTGGGGATTGCGAGAAACATTGTTAAGATCCAGACTAAGAAGAAAGAATCCATCAATTAAATACCTATCATATTTTTTGGTACACAGCGGAAACTTTTTGGTCAACTATCTTTATCTACTTAAATTGTCTCATATGTATTTATAAAATAAATGTTCAATAATCATCGACAACGTACGTTTTCTTTTCCTAATCTTTCTTAATAAACTGTCGTCTCGTTCGTTGTGTTCGTATTCCTACAAATTCGAATTTGCGAATTCGGCGCGATTGATGAAATCGCCGCGGTGAGTTCCTCCGTGAGAGTCTTCAAAGAAGGAGCAATACACCGACGAGGATCCCGGAAAAATTCGTTCCCGCTGCGTGCAACGGGAATCGGAAAATCGCAAGAAGAGTACTATCGATCTTAGACAGTGGTTTCGTCTAAGATCGATCTGAAATTCTAGGTATTGGTAGTGTCGTAACTCTTGTACGTGTGAGAAGATCTTTTGTGCTTGACCGTGCAGAAGAGAATCATGCTGGCCACTTGGCCGAACAACTGGAGGAAGGCCACGACGAGGCCCACCGTGCCTACTATATGGAGTCTAGTTATCAGCCACATTTGAATGGCGGTCGCGCATCCTTCCTTGTACCAGAGCTCCTTGTTACGACCCTCCGAATCCAGGCGACCGCAGTATCGTTCCCGCTGCATGCAGCAGGAATCCGGCACCCGATCCTCCTCGGGCCACGCCTCGATTTGGAACCAATCCGTGTAGTCGCGTACACCGCAGCAATGAAACTGGAGGCGTAAATTTAAAACTCTGTTATATTAAACATTGATTTAACGCGTCTAGAGTCCCTCTAATCAGAGCCTGGCCAAAACTTGCAGTTCAGGATATAAAAAGAGAAAGAGAAAGCGATATACATTCATATGTATACATTCATATTGCTGTCTCTTTCTCTTTTATATTTTTTTCTCTTTCTGTTCTCTTGCTTTTGCCAAAAAATGGCGAACCAATCAAAAGTTGCTGTTGTATGGCCAGACTGTGATTAGAGGGACTCTAAACGCATTCTACGCAATGTGACACGGTTAATAATTTAGTAGAGCTATGTAAAATTTTTTTAAAGCTTTGAAATAGATTAATAAGATAGAAATATGTATAAACGTATGTTCGTGCGGTGTGGTGTGTGAACATTTTAATTAAACAAACCTCCGTATGTATATGGTCCCACATGGCAGAAAGCGTTCCCGGTTCCCTCGTAATATTGTAATGCTTCTCAATGCCGTACAATAGTTCCGCCTTCAAGCTCCTCGCGAGATGTTCCCTGAACACGAACGCCAAGGTGCCCAGCATGAACTCGGCGAGAAACATGAGTATTACCAGGCTGAAATACTGAAAATTACAGGACGTGTAAACTCTCTCTTATTATTAATTACATTATTACATTAATTACATTATTAATTACATGTAATTAACCGTTATTAATTACACGGAGAATCTCTGTAAAAGTTTCGAGATTTTTCAAAAAGACTTCTAATTATTCCAACACTAATTTCTTCCACAAACCGGGAGAAAACTAGCGTTGAAAAAAAATACGGAAAAAGAATACTTTATATTCTATGTATAATTACTATACTGTGCACGCAAGGTCTCATATGCTGTGCAAACAAATTTATCGATCCGTCATGTATTACGCCACTACACGAATTTCACAAATACCAGCTATAATGAAAAGAATATTTCATTTTGCTTAACAGGCAGATCTATTTTAAGCTGCGGTCCATTTAACACTACAAATGCTTCAAAGCATTCCTCTTCTCTTTTCTTTCAGCAAAGAAAGAAGGAGAAGAAGATTGCTTCAAAGCGTTTGTAGCATCAAATAAACTGCAGCCTTAATGTCAGTTAAAAGTGAGCAAAACAAACGAAGAAGAAAAATAATTTTCAAAAAATGTAGCGTGGTCGACATACGGATTGCTCTGTGACGAATTACTCAAAAGACGGCAAAAATTCAAATCACGATTTACTGACGACGAAGATATTCAAGACAGTCAAGTTATACGCTTCAGTCCATGAGCTGCGTCGCTGCGTGTGCGGTATTCTGCATGCATATTACAAAAAGTCCCATGATATACTATACCGCGCGCGCTTTTTGCAAGGCACGTGTTTTACAAATGGATCACGTTGTATACCAACCGTGATCAGCATGCATCTTGACTGGAACCACGCGCCGCAGCATCCGAAGAAGGCGATGACGAATGTGACGCATCCCGCGGCGAGCAGCAGCGAGTCCGCCGACACGAAGCTGTACTGCGGCACCAAGGTCGCGTATCCGGAGTAAGCCAATCGCAGCCAAAGGCCCGCACCCAAAATTCCACAAGCGCATAACTGTAAAACAAAATTACGCGTCAGTTGCGCCGTGCATCCATAAACTTTCGACGGACGTGTTTCAAAATCAGATCCATCGAAGCCGACAATGTAGTGTGGGCCATAGAGTGGGCCGAAATACGTGGGATTATCTGGAAGGGAGTGATTCTACGCTCAAAATAAATCGAAATAATAAAATACATTTTTTTTTCGAATAACGCCTTGTTTTCGAGAAACACTAAATCTGTCATGAGCCTCGAACAATTAAAAGAAAAAATTATTCTTGCATTTTGAAGAATTAACAGGACAGAATATACGTTAGAAACAATTTCAATTTAATTCGCAGAATACAATCTTGTATACGACAAAACGGCCAACATTTTTAACAATATCTCAACTAAATATAAAATAAATTTATTTTCTTTGTCTCACACAAATTCACATGTCTGTCTTAAGAGTCAACTGATTGAATTAGTTCCTGATAGTAAACAAACCATACAGAACCTACGTCTGTAGCGAAACTTATTACGTCAAGTATCAGACAAGTGCACGCGTACTCGATTGACTTTCAAAGTTCTTTTTCTCGAAAACAGGGTCTTATTTAAAAAAAAAATTATTCTATTATTTCGACTTATATTGAACCGTAAAATCACCTCAGTTGTACAATATATTTCAGGGTATAGATCATAATTATATATATGTAATATTATTATACATATAGACGAATAATTATATTAAATATTCCAAAACCACTGACAATGTTCTTTCAATCACAGCTTTAATGGTCTTTATTGCGAAATCATTTCGATTCCGAATCGGTCAAGAAAGTTGCAACAAAAGCAATATTTGATAGTTTTAGGTTCTATTCTGTTTATAACAAATCTACTAATCTTAGTTTATTAGCAAATTATATTCTTGTGTTTAAAACTAAAATGTGCAAAATATAATAGGAAACGGTACAATAATAACTTCAAACGGTAATTATAAACTGAAGAAGTAATAACAACTTTGTCAGTAGCTGCATGTCTCGCGAGATCGCATTAACGTATTATTTGATAACAATAATCCGCGAGGTATGTACTCAGAGATCTAGGAAATTATAATTAAAAGCATCGAGAGATCCTTATCGCACGCCATTCGTAGCACGCGAATACACTGGGTCAATGCCGCGTTATTTTCATTCCGGCTGTTTTCCGACAATGCGCGCACGCTCGGCAACAAAGGGTACCTCGAGCCATGCAGCGCGTTTGAGCAAAATCGGAAAGTGGAAAGTGGGCCGTGAATTAGAAAGTAACGCGACGTATTTCGAATCATCGACGCGGAAGGAAGATCGATGGCTGCGGTTGACAGCCGTCGCGAAATAACTCACGGTCAATGCGCCGAACGTGTGGCAAAGTAAACGGCAAAATTGCCATTTCTCGCGTTCGCGATAATAAAAATAATAAAAATAATAGCGAAACTGTGCGACGTTATATTTCGCTAACCAGCAAAGTGTATCGGATGTGTCAATGCGGTGACCCGTATACATTTAACGGTTTATCGTTTACCTGCTAACTTATTAGCAAATAGAGAGACTTCCCGAGCCCGCGCTCAATCGCGAGAGAGTACACAAGCTTTCTATGTAGATAAGCCGGCGGTTACCTCGCCGTGCTGTCAGTGACAGGAAGTCAACCCAGCGAAACCAGGTGAATGTTGACCTTATGGTTAATTCATCCGCGTCCTCTATATCGCGATACGTCCGATACGCGGTAGCGATAGTCGTCCCGCCTTATCGTATTCGACCGTGAACGAAGAGACGAACGTGTTTACGCGCAACACGCAGCGTGTAACATCCGCGGAAGAACTTGCAACGGTAATTTATAAATTGCAACTTGCGCGATGCAGTGTGATTAGGAAATTAATGCACTGTTACGCGACCCCGATAGCAAATTGTACAAAAGAGCGCGCGTCCGTACTTTCTAATTACCGTCAATGATGCGTGCGCGAAAACGGGACGGAGTTTTTGCAACAGCGTTATATAATCCGCAATACGTGTCGTTGACCATCAAATATATTCGTTTTATATCGCCGTTGAAATATTTATTATTAACATTAATTTTTTTTTATAATTAAAGATAAATATTTATCTAGCAACGTATCTCGTCTGAGAGAGATCTGGCTTTTCTACTTTTGGAAATTATGTAATTGTTACTGTCTTATCTAGTTTGGAGCTTCCGCAATGAACCGCGCATTAGCATCCGAAGTATAATAAGGCGGGCCACAGGTGACGCGTTTCAACGGCAATAAAGCACACAAGGACACGCGCGCGTGTAACAGTTTTGCGGCTCAGAGCAAGCGGCACCGCGTTTTATCGTCGGCTCGGATACCGTAAGTTCATAGCTCATAGAGCACGGTTCAACGCCCTATTTAAGGCTTTCATCGCGATACAGACGCCGCGGACGGACGATTTCAAGTGGAATAATAAAACCGGGGGAACGCGGTGAATGCGGCGGAATGCGGTGTGCGAATTACAAAAGCGCGTCGTCGCGTTTAATCGCCGAGCCGCGCGTGGGTCGTTATTACCGCCGGCTATTGTCTCATTTCTGTCATTTCTGACCAATTGGTGCCCCGCACTTGCACCGTATACTTGCGTGTTTACGAATCGTGCGCTGCGACGAAACATTTCATTCAAATCGAAACCTTCTCGCGCATCTTTCCAGCGCGAACGAGACGCTTTAAATATAGCTCAAGTGCTGCTCTTGAAAATCGAAATTCGCAAAATAAATCGATCTTTCGAAATATAAACATGTAATATAGATAAAATTTCCATTTGCGCACGCATTTCGCATCATTTCTGCTGTTTTTCAAAAAAATTATATAATATATAAAAATTATATCGAATCAAATTATACACTGAAAAAAAAATACTTAGATCCAAGAAAATATTTTTTCACATAGTACCAATGGCTTATTTACTTAATATAATCACATATTTATTTAGAATTAGATATTTTTACTTAATTTAAGTAAATGTCTTGTGGCATCTTGTGGCCACAAGATATTTTTACTTAATTTAAGTAAAGATATTTAATTCTAAATAAATACGTGATTATATTAAGTAAATAAGCCATTGTGGTACTATGTGAAAAGATATTTTCTTGGATCTAAGTATTTCTTTTTTTCAGTGTATAAAACCAAAATGCAATACCAAAAATAATTGATAAAAAAGGCACCTCTACGTACCCAGATCAAAACGTTGAGGGAGCAGAAAACGTGCCTGATGCACGTGTATCCTGTGCGGCCCATGATGCGATCCTTCATCGGGTCCTTACTCCGAAAGGACTGGTAACGTTTCCTGGAAACGTAGAAATGGCAACATGATCCCTTTGCGCAAAGGCAGGATGCGGGGTAGAGAATCTATATCGTTTGGCTACGAGAAGACTCTTGAGATTAGCACCACAACGCGAATTGACGTGAGACAGCGGTGTGCCCGCCGTGCAAGGTTACGGCGCTATCTCGACGATTGTTCACGGGTGTTAATTACATCGACTCAATCAGCAACTTTCGTCTTCCATCGCGTATACGAACGCTCGCGGAGAGGCTTATTACGCTCCTCTTTTACGTCACAGATATCATTATGCTAATTATATATCACCGATAAGGAAACCCACTGTGCGCATCAGCGCGAGAGCCTCGTGATGCGCATCACGGATCACCAGGAAATACTACATCTACGTTCGAGGAGCAACCTGAGGTGAACAGGACGTGGGAGGAAGGGGAAGAAGCCGCGGCGAGAGAGAGAAATAAAGAGGAGGAACGGAGGGGGGAAGAGGTGAAGAGAGCGAGGAGGAGGAGGAGGAGGAAAAGGAGGAGGAGGAGAACAAGAAGATCGACGTGCGACCTACGCGAGCGAGGATCCCGCTCGAACGCACCGACGAGGAAGATCTGTAGGATCGTCCCAGCTGACTGACTGCCGGCCGACCCGACCAGACACAATCCTCGTCAGACGCGACAACGGTCCGTTCCGATGTGTCTGAGAATTGGCTCCGATTGGCTCCGGTCTTGGTCTCCTCTCTGGAGTCTCCTTCTAGGTCCGCTAACGGGACACAGCCGCAACGAAGCCATTCACCTATACGTGATCGCGATAAAATCCCGAATGGGAAGAGGTGGAAAGGACGCCTACGAAGGATATTGCTCGTCGAACGTCACTTTTCCCGTAGGCAGCGATCGAGTCGCGAGAAAAGAATAAGACACCTTCAAGGCCGCTTGCAAGACGTTGCAGTCTCGTTTTCCCGTTATTTCCTTCGCGTCTCACGTAGAGCGCCCGCCGCTGCTCTTCATTAACCTTTTACATCCGGATTGAGGTCTCTCTTACGCGTACAGATACGCGCGCACACAGGGAACCGCGCAGAACGCTAAGGTGCAAAGGTGAAGGTAAAACTTTCGCCGAAAGGTCTCGTGTATAAAAATCTTCGCTTTCCTAGAAACTCTCATTCAGCTGTATAATAACTGCATCACCTCAAACCACTTCCCACGGTGTATCGCTTTTTGATTGCAAAGATAAAATTAAATTATCTGCATGTAATCTGTAATAAAGTTCGTGAACTATCACAAAATCATCGAACTGCTCTATTAATTTTTTTCACGTCAACTTTACATTAATTTCTCTTTCGTAAAATTTTCCTAGGTATAACAATTTTTTGACACGCCGCTGAAAAGTGTGAACTGCGCGGAAGAATCGAATAACTCCTCCTAGATCTATAACGTGTGTTGGCGCATCGGAAATTTAAATTACGGCGACCGGTCCATGTGACTTTCCTACGTTAAGTCATCGTGATAGCTATGCAAATATATATTGATCGGACAATGCACGACGGAAGAGACGTTGAATAAAAGATTATTCCTACAATATTTCTCACGTCAGCTATGGCGCGGACCATCATCATCTACGGTCTCACGTTGTTACGGCGCTTTCGTTCCATCGATTGTTTTCGTCGGCTTTGCTCGCGATACGTTGTAATTAGCATAATTAGTGGAGCGCGAACACAATTTCACTGAATTATTAAATTCTCTCTCGTGTCCTTACGGAGCAGTACAAGGTGAAGAATGAGATTGTCAGACAATTACTAAAAGGAGAAGCATCTCTTCCTGTGTTTAATCAAAGCGATTTAACCCTATTCGCTCCAACCATGCCTTTCGTGTCCCACGAATTTCTAACAGTCGTTTGTTCCGGAAAACAAATGATCGTGGGAGAATCCCCTCCACGCCGGAAAAAAGTTATTGTGGCAGGGAACCTCAGGTAAAAATTTCAAAGTCCTAGCTCATTTACTCTCGAAACGGGGAATAATCAAAATCTCGGTGGGACATGAAAGTGCATGGTTGGAGGATTACGTCAGTGTTGTGTGAAAGGTAAATGAGCATTTTTTTCGATAAAAATGTATTTTTGTGTATTATTTAACCGCATTTAAAATATTTTTGTCGTTAAAAAAGAAATTTAACATTCCACAGAGGTCTATTATGGCTCAGAGGCAGATGGAAGAGGTGGGGAGGAGCTACGATTATATAAAAAAAATTAATTTTTTTACATAAAAAATATCTGTCACACTTCAAATTCGCCTTTTCTTATTCAGAAATTCTTTTTCTAGCATTCTTTAAGTCCTTAAAGTCTTTCTGTACCATTTAAAAATTACCAAATTTGCGGCGACGAAATTAAGTATTCCTATTTAATTAATAATTATCTCATATTTTTTTTCTCATTTGCACTACTTTTAGCTTTAATTTGCGTTTTGGTTCATTAAGCTTCGTCAATTTGTTCGTGAGTTATGATTTTTTAAGTAAAACGAGTCGTAACGTGTGTTTGTCAACATATAATTGTTGTAAAAAAATATTTAAATAAATGATTTTCAAATGTTCTTTACATTGATTTTTAGTCGAAGGTACAAAGATATTATAATAATTTTTGGGGAATTTTTCAAAGCTATTAACATTATAAAAAACACGTGGGACTCGAAAGTGCATGGTTGGAGGATTATTGGGGCGAAAAAAACGTTGGAGTGAATAGGGTTAATAATAGTGCTTTAGGAGCAAAAATTATCATATTTTTTTATAAAAAAGCTTCTACAGTTTTATTAAAATCTATTAAAATATCAATGATAAATAGATAGACATTTAGATAAATTTTTACCTGAAATGCATAATTAATATATCAATGGTAATTCGAACGTATCAACAATTCTTAATTCTCGATAATAATAACGTAAATAAAATTATTGTACACACACACACACTCGCACACCGGCGCAATTAGCGCGAATAATTTTTCAGTGCCTTTGGAAACTTCGTGTATCTAACGCGACGATCCGTTCGATGGATATCGACACTTTCCAGCAAAAAAAAAAAAAGAAACACGAACATCTTGTCGGACGAGTATCCGCGTTTTAACGGAAAATCTGTTATCAGTTCATTGCATGATTAATGCGTTCCTCTCCCTACTTGCCGCAATGGAGGCCGTTATCAGAATTGAATAATATTGATTCGCCTTATCAAGAGAGCTACGCACGCTCTCACGCAGAACTCCACCCACCCGTCGTAACATATTCGTGCCACTTGTCGCGGACGGAGTCCCGTTAAATAAGAATGCTCGCGAGGAAAAAAAGCGCGAGCTGACGCAAAGAGCCGATGAAGAGTGAAATGGAACGGACGCGGATCTGAAAAAAAAAATAGAATGTTCGATCTCGTAAAAGGTGCTCGTGGACTTCACCTTGCTCAGCCTTGCTGTACGGTCACGTCTTTTCCATCCCTCGGTTATGTCACGCGTTAAGAACACGGTGACATTTATAGCGCATACTGGAAGGTGCAGAAGGAAAAAAAATCCCCGTGCGTTTCAGCACGAGGTATATTTATACACCTCGCTATATGCTCTTATTTTTATCCTAACTGGTTGTTAGGTTGTTACATTATCATGGAAATTGCAATATCCGTGTGACATCGAGTTACTTTATCGTTATAAAATTTTGTGCCGATATTATTGAAGACGTTTCAAAACATGAAGCGCTCAAACTTCTCCATTTTAATAAAAGAAAAAAGACTGGCATCAAAAGAGATCACACTTTAAAAGAAAAAATTAACCGTTCTAAGGATTAATTATTATTTTATCTAAACACAATTTAAAAAAAGAGTGTTTAGTGAAGTGCGAGCGTATGAAAAGATTTAATCGACATCGAGATCAATTTTCACGGACGAAATGGAAGGCTGCGCGAAAATAATGTACATTAGAGCGCGAAGGGGCGCACAAACGGTCCCCCTGCCTCGACTTCCTGCCAATTGCGGACAATTTACCATCATCTATGATCTCCCCACTCGCCGACGCCCGTCGCCGTCGCGTGAAACGTGTGCGTGTGGACGTGTGGTGCCTAAATGTAAAAGTTAACACGGCCCGGTTCTCGCTGAGAGGGGCCCCGTCCGTCTCTTTCACCATTTCATATGCCCATACAATCGCGTTAACACGTCCTACGCGCTCATCTTCCCACGTGATGTAATCGAGGAAAGAAGCTCGCACGCGTGTCTCGCGCGTTATCAGTCTTCCGGTGGTCGCATACGTGTACGGAATGCATCGGTTGGTTCTTTCTCGCCGCGAAAGTATGATCTTGCCAGGCTGTAATTGGTAATTTCACGTATTAATCCTTTGTTCCCGCCAAAAACATCCCAAATTGCTACGAATTAACTTTTTACAACCAACTTCTAGACCACTTTTTCGATCTTTATATTATTAATTATATTAATCGTAACACATAAAATATACGTTATTATTTATGGGACTTGTTAGTTACTTTGTGCAAAATGGTTGCATAAGTCAGAATAGTTACATGTTGAGAATATGAACTGCAAAAGCTACAGAATATCGGGCGTAACGAGCTTGTTGAAGAGAGCTCTCGCGCTGTGCAATGGAGCGAGCTATATAGTATCATACTTATTATTACGACGATCTTTAATTTCCTGCTGCGAATCGACGAATAAAGATCACGATTACATAAGGATTTATTGAAAAGTATTACGTATAAATTAATCGTTAATCGTAAAATGATACGTCAAGACATGCGTATCCTTCGTCGGACAAAGCCACGTACAAACACGAATCCAGTTAGTTTAATCCCTCTCAAACCCTTCTCACGCATACGTGATCGGTTTCTTAAACACGGTATTAGGAAGTCTTTTTTTGGCCGACAAATCCGTCATTGAAATTCTCGCGTCGTTCTTTGAACGTTTACATACTGTCAATCCTTTCCTAAAAATAATATCCTTTTAAATACATTATAGAAAATATATGTTGTTTATATATTTTTATTTCGCTTAAAGTTAAAAAAAATATCGAAAAAAGTACAAAAAAGTATACATATAAACTCGAATTCTATATATTTTATAATAATTATGTTTTGTACGTTATAAATAATATTTACGATGTTAATATAAATTTTACATTTAGGAAAAATAAAATATTAAAAGTTCGATATACAATACAATGTTATTTAAATTCTTGCTGGGAGATATAGTTACAGTGAACATAATCATGTTACAGATACGTGGTCTATTATACCTACGAGTCGAAACGAAACATTTCCGATTGCAGTATCCGCAATTTTACGTGTTTCCAGACCTAATTTCGAAGAATTTCAGACGTTAACTCGGAAACCTATGCAAGCCACTTCACAACAATTAATGATTTTGAGTGTGCTACGGCGTACCTAACGGAAAACGAGCGGATAACGTTATAAAACTGTCGGAGAGCAATTTTATTCGAGTTTGGAATGTGCACAATTTCCCACGAATTTATGGGGAAGGGTAATAAACCGAGAAGAAACGATATCTTCGCCGAAGAAAGCGTCGATTCATTGTTCTGTTAAATGTTGGCGCATGGGAAGAGAAATCGACGAGCGACCTGTTCGCACGATCGATCTCCTGGCACTCAGGATAACCGCGTGCGTTATCAGCGTGTTTTTTCTGGCTTAGACACGGTCGGAAAAGTGCTTGCGATTTAAAGTGAAAAACTGACGAAAGAAAACGACGGACGTCCCAATATTTTTCAGACACGTGAGAAAATTGTAAGACAATAAAACTATAAAAGATAATAAAACTTTCTCCCTGTTATATCGAAGAAACGAAATGGCTCCCATGCTCGTTCTCACTACAAAGAGTACGCTTGCACTCGCGCTCGATTTACTATCATAGATAAATTGTCTAATTTGTAATTACGCATGTAAAGGGTCACGTACATCAGTAAACTCGCATAATGATCGCGGTCGTCAGTTCGAGACAATTCGCTGAAAACATATTAATCCTTTCTGTCGAGGTCTAAATCATCTCGTCGAAACTGATAAGGCCATGAGATACACGCGACAGCATTAATCCGGCCACTAACGTGATGGTCTTCTAACACGATGAAGCGACGCGGAGAAGACTCATTTCGAATGTGACCTTCAATAGTAATGTTTAAAAATAATTCTAATTCACACAGAGACACGCACGCATATTATACATTTAAAGAAAATATAAAGGAATAATTATCTTTTTTTAATTCGTCAAATAAAATTTCCAAAGTTTCTTATAACTAAAAAAATTTTTCGCAGAGATATTAAAAAAATCGCATTTCCCTGCATTTTTAAATTTTTTATAGATATAAATTTTATTGTAAATTTATATCTTTTTATTATTATATCTGTAATTAAATTAAAATTGTATTAAAGATAGATATTTTATAAATTAATTTGAAAAATAAAATTTTCTTATCTATTTTCCCTCCTAAAGCCTTATTTGCCATAAACTCTTTTTGTTTAATCATTAATTTGAAACAAAAGCTACTATCACGTTAATAAAAAATTAGTTCCAATTCGGCCAAAGCATTTATGGTGCAATCTGTTGAACATCTGTTAGTTTTAGACATTTATATTTAGACTGTCATCGAGAGTGAAGAACTTAATAAAGAAGAAGTTGCACATTTCCGTGATTCTGTTTTCACTGAAATATAGAAAATTGCACCGCCATTGTCGCTAATTTGAATAATAGCTCTGAACAATATCCAATCTATGCATGCAACATTTCTCGTGATGTAATCGCGTAATTTTACCCGCATGCATTTACGCACCGTGCAGTTATCGTTAACTCCGTTCGCGAACGCGACGCCGAGCGTATCCAGGTTGTGTTTGTAAGCAGAAATACGTGAGTTTCGTATGCTGAATCTGCGAGGCGGATTTCATAACTCCGCTTCACCGATCAAGACATAAGTGAATCGTTCGCTTTATTAATCAAGCTTCACATTGCGAAACCTGGCTCACTCGTGCCACCGTCACGACGGAATGTACTTACAAAATGTAATAACGCAAGCGATTATTTCAATAATGAAAATCGCGCAAATTACTGCAATTTGAATTCTTAAAGTATTCCTTTCGTCGGAACGATTTTTAATCACTTTTAACATTTCTTGCAATTCTCTAATTCTAACATCAACGCGGAATCGCTTTTGTAAAATTAATTATTATTCGTACTTAAACGACGCTCGCAATAATGAGAACATTTTAAATGACAAACCTAACGTTCACTGAAATTATAAAGTAATTTGCGAAAATGACGCATTTAATGAGCAAGAATTTAAAATAATATATGAGAAAAGTAGATGTTCTCCATTAATATGTAAGTTTCCAACAAACGTAATGATGCACTGATCACTCACAGGTGAAATAAAGATGCTCATCCGTATTGTTCTCTGTAGGGAGCTGTCGCGAGCTCTTCGCCACCGAGTGGCTCACAAAAGTTCATGGAAAGCGCAGTCAAAGGTCGACTCGCGTAGCTTCGCGGTAGCTTTCGAGTTCGCGGATCGACTGCGCGGTACCAGTCCGCATCCGCAGCAACATCCGTTCTCCGTTCGTCCGAGCCGGTACCAGAATCGCCATCTGACGGTTCGTGATACAGGCGCGACACAACGGATTATCCGATGTAACGTTAATTACAAAAGTCAATAAAAAAGCAAAATGTGCAAGTTTTATAACGAGCGTGTAAAATTCCGATAATTAACCAATCATCGCCAACAGATGAAGTCATCTTGAATAACGAGTGCGATTATTGATCCTTGTTTAGATAAAAATGTAACGTAACAATCACCCGTAACAATTAACATAAAAGTCAATCCAAAAAATATGCAAAGTATTTTGTAATAAGTGTAAAATTCCGATGATTCGTTGGCAACGTCATCTTGAGTAACGAATGCGATTACAGATTTTTGTTCAAAGAAAAATTTATTGACCAAATATTAGAATTGTATCATCAATGTTTTATCAACATTTTATAATAAAATTAGGAACTTTATCGTTTAAGCACGAGATAAATACTTTTTACATTAATGATGAAATGTCCTGTTATCTTAAATTTATTGCGTTCATAAGATTATGAACGCGTTACAACTAATGATAAGTAATATATATTTAGTAAAATTTAACAAAATTTTATTTCTTACTAATTGTAGAGCAAAAAGGAACATTTTACGACATATAAACCAAAATTAAATTCTACTCAACATTGTACCTCAATTAATATTAAGATATATAATTCAATATTACAATCTTAAATTTAAAAATAGCATTTTAATTAAAGAGCTTCAAAAGGCAACCGTATAAATACCATTATACCATAAATAGATATGCTGTTATATGTATAAAATTATACACATTGCAACAAAGAATCAACCGTAATATAAAAATTATTCTAAAAGAATATTAAATAAATAACGTGTCAAACAAACGCATTAAAAAGAACATATTCTTTCTTATTTCTGTTTCTTCAGACTTTGAGATGATTCTTCCATGGACTCCAGCCACAACTGAAGTTCTTTGGTGGGCTCCGGCCTGCGTGTTTCTGGCTCGATTTCGGCGATTATATCCGCTACCGGAATTTTCAATCCGGTTACAGTTTGTCTGCTCAATACGACGGCGCGAATAAAATTATCCGTGAGACTGATAAATTGCTGTTCTATATAAAAGTGTTTGTCTTCCCAATAAATGAGCTGCAACAAGAAAAATTAAATCGACTTAATTATCGCGCAAGAACAATAAAAACATTTTAAAAAAACGCAAAAAAGTAATCGATCGTACCTTTGTCGTAACCTTGTACGGCGTAAAGATAGGAATTGCCCGACGATATCGTATAGTGGATGCACCTTGAACAGCACCGCCGCCTCTTTTTGCGACCGCGTCGTAAATACCTGAATTATCGTAAAAGTAAAAACGCGCAAAATCCAACTCGCGCAAGTATCGTGCGTTATTCATGTGCTTCAAGACCAGGTCAACGTCCTGAGTGCTGCAGATTCCTAGAACAAGGGAAATTCATTAGCTATTGTATCTCACGACAGAGACGAAATTTTCTGGTGGCCAAAGAGTTACAAGCTTTCTGTTCGGATTTTTCGAAATTGTATACGGATAACCACTTATCCTTTGAAACGCGAACCTTTCTATTTCGAATAGTCCAACTCGTCCAATGTGTTTGTCCTACTTAAATGAATCTTATTACTTAATAACTGAAAAAATCGTATAATGAACTTTTGGAGTTTAAAACAGAGATATTACAAGAAACGACTTGTATATACATATACGTGACTGTTTAGTCTTTCTGCGAATGAATATACGGTGCCGGTGTTCCGTAGAGTGAAGAAATATACGCCGATATGCTGGCGCATCATTCCGTACAGTTATTTGCCGACCCACATAATGTAACTGAATACATTTGAAAACATGACTCACAGAATGTAAATATACGTCATAAATAAGTAGTGTACAGTGTGTGCACCGGTGTGTGCACACCTGGTAAATTATGAACATTTTGATGCGTCGAACAAAAATGTACACGATACATGTAAAATGTCTTTGCAAAATATTGGAACGTATTTTTATCGCGATATGTCTAATAATGTAAATCTTATTCGCGACCTTTGCTCTTGATACACGTAACGACGACAATACGATACGACTTTGCACACGATCTATATCTCGCTTCCTCCACACTCGGCGAATTATTTAATTTCCCACAATTATTTCCATGAAGTATCGATAATATCTCATAGAAAATTTTATTTTTTTGTGACGTAACAATGTACTTCTTCCGTTCCTTAGAATTATTTATCAATGTCCTTGCAATTAAAAATGCCTCATTTAACAAACCGCAAATAGATTTATTCACAAACAAAGTTAATAATCTATTATAAGTGTGAGAACTTACCATAAATCGTTGTCGTATCGAAGAGCTTCTTCTTCTTCTCGAAAAGTCTGCCCCAAACGATGGTGAAGATAATTCTTAGGAAGTAGTTTACATCGAATAAAATGTAGAGAATGGCGACTATCGCCACGGCACAAGAACACAACATTATCAGCTTCCTACCGGCGTATCTCTCGCTATCTGAACAAAATATACTGTAGCACGCCGATTCGATACGCGCCTCCTCACGGTCGACAGAAGACTGACCGTGACTCTAGCTTGTCTGGAGGTCTCCAAAGAACCGGTTCCAGAGGCACGTTACTAAAGACCGACGCTTCAAAACGTTGATTGATCGAAAAATGACAACCAAAATTAGAATCACAAATTGGAAGATTTACAAATAAAATGTCAAGAGATTTATAATAGAACATCACACAAGTTAAACGCACATAATAAGTTCCTTTTATATTAAAAAAGAATAAAGAAATATTAATTACTCTGTACAGATAAATGATAGCTGCTGTTTTAATTTGTTCTTCTTTTAATTTAAAATTCTACAAATATGTCTTTTAACACATGCAAAATCAGCTCCGATAACTGAAAAAATGTTTTATTACCTGTCTAACTATTTAAATTTTAATATCTCATTTCGCTGATTAAGTCTAAATCCTTAAATGCCCCGTGGGATCCAGCGGACCCCAGACTTTTTAGAATAAAATGTTTTCAAATGTTTTTGCCAAAAAAGGAGCTCCCATTGATGATAATTGAGTGATTGACCTACCCGTTTGTACACTTAGCAGTACTCAGTTTACTTAATTTTTTATACTATGTGGAAATTGAAATTTTAACAATATAATCATTTTATTTTATTTTCTAAGCTTTGAACAACATTGAAAAAAAATTTTCATAACTAAAGATAAAAAAATCAATGAGTAACGAGACATTTTTCATGCTGGGGTCTTTTAGACCCCTCATGTCATTTACGAGATTCTTGAGAGGTGTGGCATTTAAGGGTTAAATGAATCAAGATTGAGACTATATTAAAAATAAGGTTTCTCTATTTTTATAAAAATCTCCATTTTTTATAAAATTTTATTAATTCTTATAAATATTAGGTAACACACACGACAGAGGAAGTTAGCGGCTATAAAAAATACGTGAACTATCATTGGTGTTAATAAATCAGTGACCTCGCTGCTAATTATTTATTCCAATGTGTGCGCATATCCAATCAGATACAATATTATAGTCTGCAAAGTTGTTAGGTATAAGGAAGCAAACTAAAATACCGGCGACTTTTTCAAAAACATCAAGTTATTATTGCGAAAAGACGCGTTTTTAATTTAATAGATAGATATATTTCTTCCAATATGTGAAGGCACCTAATATACTATGTAAATACACAGGCATTATTATTAATGCCGAATTTAACCCGGCTTTAGTAATCGCGCGGGTTTCCCCACCTTTGGTCTTTCCGTTGCGTGTGAGAGGACCTGCAAGCCCGAACACACGTTGGCGTAGCCGCGATCGTCGCCTCCTCACTGTAACCGGACGTGGTTAAGTGAAGACTCAAATTCACGAAATATGTTAATCTACTGCCCGGTCGCCACTCGGTTTAATTAATAATCTACCGAGAAGGTAAGAAATATGTATCTCGTCAGAATTGGACATCGATATTAACCACCTTTTCTGTTTCAGGTTCCTGCCTTCGATAGATCGCCGCTGGACTACGATGGACCACCAACGATGTGACTTTGGATTGCTGCTGGACAACGAGGGATCGTCAATTGGATCGCCGATGCTGGACCTCCCCGGATTCTCGCCTTAAATATGGATCGCCAACCGGATCGCCGCTGGACAACGAATGGATCGTCAACGCTGGATTTGGATCGTCGCTGGACAACGCTTCGCCGATATCAAAGAATCAGGTAAGTATCAGGTAAGTACTCACTAACTCTTGACATTTTTATTTATGTAAATTAATTATCTTTTATTGCTCGATCAATTTACAATCATAATTAATTTACAACCTTGATTTCAGGATGGCCTTAGAAACTTGATGACCAATATGAGAATACAGTGTTCACAATGTTCGTTTTGCGCTCAAAGATGTTATGCGATTACAAGTTACTATTATCGTAGTGCTAGCGGTAGCGTAATATGCGGCTAAGTCCCCAACATGATTATGTGAAAAATAATTTAGATTCGTAACACACAACGTTAATGTAAGATATTTAATCAGTTGTAGTTAATGGCGTGTTAAAAGATAATCTTCTATATTTTTATGTACTATGGTAATATTCATTTCAATCATAATAAATTAATTGTTACGCGAGTAACACAAACCAACGCAGAAAAATCCACCTCTCTTCTAATTTTGAGGTACGTTTTTAATCATTTGATGCAAAAATATTACACGTTTACAGTTACATAGTTTCGATATTAACATTACATACACTATATCAAATTTTAATTAATACCTCAATATTTTATTTTATTTTTAACAATGTACGATAATACCTTGACATTGATTTTTTACGCTCAGCAGTAAAATAGTGTATAATTATAAAATACGAAGGTAAAAAAAATCATTATATTCTTCTTCTAAAATCATTATATTCTTCTTCTAAAAAAAGTCTTCTTAAGACTTTACTTATAATTACTTTCTTTTTCTAAGAATTCGACTATTCCATGTTTCAATATAGAAACACTAGAAAGAAATAATCGCTCGCTGCGATTATATTAACTATATTCTTATTCCGTCTCGATTGCGGAACACCAGGCTTGTCGTAGATCATTTATTTTGTCGAAAGGCCATTTACGGGCTAAGTTTCCGTTTCTCGAGTTAAACACCCAAGTCGCGAGAATCACTGAGATTAATTGTTCTTATTCTGGAATTTCCAGAACAACATCCGTCCGACCGATGATTAAGGATGGAAATCGCATTCCGATATTCCGCTCATTACACGGTCGTGGTTGTGTATATCGGTGCCAAAACGACGTCACCGCTGGACGTCGCGGCGTCCGTTTGTCAGCAGCGCGTCGTTATTGTGGTCGGTTCCTGCCTCAACATCGCTGAGGATATCTCATTACTTTCCATCCATCTGCTAACCTCGGGTGGCATCTCTGGCCGCACAGGAGATACCTAAGAAACCACAATAAGCCGTTTAACTTTTGCGCTTCGAGTTTATCTAATTAAAAAATAGCTGGACGGCCCAAAGCGACTTGAATAATACATTTTTATTTCAGCATAATATCAACATGTATACTTTCTAAACAGTATAAACACATTCTTGACAGTAATTGAATTATTCAAAATAATATTCGAACGTAATTAATTCCTACCTGAGTTACACCTGCCTCGACGTTCCCATTCTGCTTCACCCTACGATTCAGTAGGGCGCTAATGACAGTGTCAGCGCTGCAGTTAAGAAGTCTCTGCCTGCAAATTGCGATTGCCCTTATGAAACCGTCACTCGGCGTGATAAATCGATGCTCCATAAAAAAGCTCCTCTCGTCCCAATAAATAATCTGAAAAGAAATTAACGAAATTATACTACGCAAGATTGCGTACGTACTTGTGTACATATATTATGCTAATTAAAATTAAAACGTCGAATGCCCATTTCAAATCCGTTTTTTCCTATGTGCTACTCTAATCGTAACTATTCTATTTATCTGCTACCAAGCCGATCAAAACGCAACAGTTTATTAAATACAAAGTTTTCAGTTTTTTAAATATATTTATGGGATATTGCCCCATTTTTTCCCAAAATATATGTAACTTATCCGAGTGAAGAAAGAATATAGAGAAAGTTCAATTACAAGTGAACCGGTTCGATGCATAATGCTTCTTTACCGATCTACCTTACTTTTCGCAATACGGTACAAATGTACAATAATATGCACAAGTAAACCGGTTCGAAACACTTCTTTTCCGTTTTGATTTTTGCAACTTTGAAGACACTTATGTAACAATATGCACATAGTAGCACAGTTATGCGTATATTCCCGGTAAAACATTTTTTATATAAAAACATATCTAAATATATATAATCATATAATATTATATAAAATATTATATAAAATATGTCCATATATGTTTTTTTCTCTTGTATAATCTCTGTTTGTTTGTTACAAGAAAAATAATTAAAAAAAGAATTAGAAAATAATTTAAAAAATAATTTTTGCATTGTTTTTTTATTATTTTTGGATTGTTTATTTATTTGCCCATACATAATAATTTATAATCACATACATATAAATGTAATAATATACATATAAAATATCATTATAAATAATTATATATGAGCAAATTTTTCACATTTGCATAGACTTTATTTTTTTGTAAAAAAAAACAATGCAAAAATTATCCTTTTAATTATTTTCTAATTCTTTTTTTTATTATTTTTCTTGTATTTATGAACAGAGATTATGCAAGAGAAAAAAAACATAGTATGGGACATATTTTATATAATATTTTATATAATATTATATGATTATACATATATATTTAGATGTTTTTATATAAAAAATTTTTTACCGGAATTGTATATATAGTACCATTTTCCCATTCCGCTGCGATCAAATGGATAACGCATTCTCACCGAAGATATTTAATTTAAAATTCTAAACGCGTTATACCGTCCGTTATACCGTTTTATTTTTTTCAAAAGTTAAAATTCGAAAATTTTATAAGAACCTTTCGAGATGTGACCTTTCGAGAACACAACAACACAATAAAAGTAATAATAATTCTCGAGTAAATCTCATTTTCTTCGCCAATCAAATAATAACAAGTAGAAATATTGATTGACTGATTGACTGATTAGTCCTTATAAATTGATGTAATCTTTGATACATATATTATATGAATCTCATTTAAATATTATCTCAGCCAGGCTGAGAGTAATATTTTTTGCAATAAATTTAATTATTTAAACGAGATGCTTATATATACGTATCAAAGATTACATCAACTTATAAGGACCAATTTCTTGGTTAAAGTGCGTCTTGACGATAATAATCGAACCAAATCATGGTCGTATTGTCTTGACAATTATAATGGCCAAATAGAGTCGATTAATATTTCTACTTGTAATAATAATTCTGTCGAATTCATCGATTTTTGGATTGCAATGTTTATTCAGCCAGATATTTTTCTTGTGCATTCTAGGATGCTAGACTATTAATTAATTGAAAATTAAATCAGAAATCAATCATTACCGCGGTAATCCTGGCCTGCAATTTGCCTTGCGTATACATGTACACGGCCACTGCTCACGCATTTACTCGATACCGAGGCGTGACCTTGTCTCTTGATACAATTTAATGCGTCTGTTAAGGACATTAAGGACAGGTTTCTCCGTAAGGAGAACCGAGAACCGCCGTTAGTTTCGACACTGTGTGCGTCATACGATCGCGTGGTGCATTGTAATTACTAAATCGAAATGGTGTATACTTCGGAATCGCGAATGCTTTATAAAAACGTAACTCGTTATCTATTGACGTGTTTGCTATTGTGTTCGGCATATGCAATCTCCTTCAATTGATACTTCATATTCATAACTGAAAGATGTACTCTCGAAAAAAAAACTACTTAGAAACTGCAACGGGATGTTTTTTTTTTAAATTTGCAACATCATAAAGTGTCTGCAAACGTTCTTTATTATAAAAAATTCTTGAATTCTTCTTTATTATTATTACAACAAACATACTATTAACTCTCTTAGCAATTCAACAACGTTTTTTTTTATGCTTACGTAAACAGGAATTTTTCCTCTTCGCCTCTGAAAAATACATTCAAACTACATGCGTTTGCATTTAATTCCCTCTAGTTACCTTAGACGTAATTTTAAAGATCGTTAGCGGTTTGATGAAACGTCTGTAGCGTATAGTGGCAGCTCCCTGCACGACGCCGGAACCTTGAGAACAAACCTCTCGATACAGATCGGTTCTCTCGAAGAAGTCGACCCTCGCGAAATCGAGCTCGCGAAGGTACCTGGCGTTGTTCATGTGATATAAAAGCGCGTCCACATCGTTGGTAGTGCAAATTCCTAAAAATCATCATAAGATAATTGTGAGTTTTTTTAACTTGATTTGAAAATATCTATTACACTTTGAATCACGCTACTTTGTTCATTGATCGTGATCACATCGATTGAGCGATTAAGATGTAAATGCATGTAAAGGTAACAAAAACACGTTTGAATTACAACAAGCGATATAATTATACGACAAATAACACATATAGAATGGTTAAGATTTAATGGTCATGATTATAATTCAACATATCAAACTTGAAAGTGTGTTGTATAAAATTATATATTGAAAGTTTCTCAAATTCAAAGAACAAGAAATTCAGTTTCACAATCCATATAAACCGCACATTTCAGCTATAAACCGCATATAAAATAACTGCATATTTCTATGCAATTGATCAAAACCAGAGATTCTTATGTTATATAATGACGTTACATAATGGAACATGATGATTTTGAGGCATTAGTTGATTTTAACTTTGGATGAAGTTAAAAGAATTAGGGACGCGTAACTGTGGCTAAGCACCTACATGGTATGTATATGTAAGTATATGTACAACTAATCGGTCATTGCATTCGTTGAAAAGCTATACATATATTGAACCATTCTTCAAGCAACGTAAACGTTCGAGATAAAATCAAATGCTATAGCTTAGTTGTCCGCCAGAAAACGTAACGCATCAATTTGAGAAGAATGCGGAGGAGATTTAAGATTTGATATTTTACGCTATATTTGACGCGTTATGTTACGCAATCAATATTCTGAATTTGCGACATTCTACCCGCCAGCTGATTCCGCACATGATAGGTCAAGGTTCACATAAGAGGGAGATAACCGGGAGGGATCGTAAGGATTCCTAGATTATATCGTAACGATAAAACGGCACATGGTAGACCTTCAATGCAAGCGCTTTTAATGTCTTGTTATTAATATCGAGGTATTCATAATTATTTTTAAAATTTTTGATGGGACAAAATTTTCCGTGTTAAGGCATTCCGTTTTATAGGCATCGTTAAATCGTTAAAGCAATTTATAAGGCATCCTTAAAATAAATTTACCAAAATTCCAAGGATTTCCTGTAAAATATTTTATTTCTGCTCTGACGTAAGAAATATCAATTAAATGTGTGCTATTTTTAAAAAATATTCTACTCTTATTTTTCAATAAAATGATATTAAAATAAAAGTTTAGATATATATATATATATATATATATATATATATATATATATATATATATAAACTTGAATAAATTATTTTACGATATTTATTATACAGTTGTTTACGTTAAGGAATACAAATGGATTTTAATTCGTAGCATAATTAATTTATGTATAGCTGTGAATTATTCGCACAAGGTCGGACAACATTTTTTTTTTTTTTTTTTTTTTTAATGAATACTAAATGGAATCGTTAAACTTCAAATTCGCTTCCTGAATGGAAGCTGATTCGAGCGTAAATTTCTCACGTACCGTAGATCACGGTCTCGTCGAGAATGTGCACCCTTTTTTTGCAGTAGCGTGCGAGGAAGACGGTGAAAAACATGCGCAGGAAGTAATGAAATTCGACGAGGCCGTAAATGAGCACGATGGCTACGAAGACCCCGACGAGGACCCAACAAGTCATCATCTTGATCTCGCCGTGCTCCGCAGTCCGCTCCGACGAAAATCAATCCGGCGATTAAGGCGGACACGCTACCTCTCTCCGTGTCGGGGGTGGCTAGACTTGGATATCCTCCACTGCCGCAACACCTCGGCAGCAGTTTATCGATTCGTCTTTGCGGTCGACGGCGTTCCACGTCCCGTCAATAAGAGCGCAGGCTGAACTCGCAACATTTCGAAGGATCGCGAACGAGTTGCGGCAGCGTCATCTTAAAACATTGGATGATGTCATTCTGACGGATCCTTGTTGACAGAAATAAGTCGCGGACTGAAACGCCGGTTTTCGCCGTCCAAGGGTCAGGGTTTTTAAATTGAGATTTTGCGATCATGAGTAATTCGTTGCGGGTACATTCCGTTGCGATAAAGCCTAATAGTATCTTCGTTTATAATCATATACTCTCGATATATGAACAAATTTTATTACAGCACATGTGTTGCAAACGTTAAATATTAAAGCAGCTTGACGCACATCGACGCTAAATGATTTTACTGACAATTGACAGCCGATTGTCAGCGATCTCCCCCCCCCCCAAATTTACATCAAAATAAAATAAAATGCCTTTGATAAATTATTAGAACTAATCAACTCTTTATACCTGCTAATTGAGGAAACTTGAAGAGAAAAATTACGGCAACAACGTGCTATCAGACGTATATGGTTTTATTTAAAAATTATACAACTGTCTGCGTTTTTTTACGATTTATTTATTAAATCGTAATGCTGTCGCATAGAATTTCTAAGAATTACTTAAGCGTTTAAAAAAAACGATCCAAGGAAAGATAATACGCGTATGTACACATTATGTGTGCCAAGCATAGATTTACCTTATTTAAATAAGAGAAGAAAACTGAATCGGTCATGATTAACGTTGCTCTGCTAACCAATTTCGACTGGCAAAAAAATCAATAAAAATCGAACGAGCTGTATAGCAATGGAATTTTGCACCACGCTCGCTTTCGATACTTTCGCGTTTACCGTCTCATTATCAGGCAGGACACGTTTTCCCCACGACCCATCGCGCGCCGCGTATTGTTCTCTTCCCAAAAAATTTAGCGTCTTACACACGAAGGCCGTCCTTTTATGTAATTATTCCCCGCACAATGTATCACATATCTCTTTGACACCTCGACACCTCGGTCAACACTTACATGATCCTCCGATAGATTTTACGAAGAGTCCGCTAATCCACCGGCGAGAAATCTTTCGGAGGTAGATCCGGACCGCGTACCAAAGTACGCGGAAGGTACACACCGGTACGCACACATCCGGTGATGAGGTCCTATCCTATCCCGCCGGTGATATCTCGCGTACTGATGATCGACTCGACGTCCTCGGCTGGCCGCCGTAGCCGGCACCGAGATGTCCCTTCTCCCAAAAGCCGCATCTGCGCCGAGGACATCCAACTAGGAAGTCCTCGCCTCTTGGTGGGAGGCTCAGAGCGGATCAGAAAACTTTGACGTCACCGGCTAGCGAGTTTCATGTGATTGATCCGATAACGAAGGCAGACCGTAGATAAAACGGGAAAGCGGGGGATCAAAGACTCCATAATTAAAAAGAGTGAAATCGCGACTGTTGGATCTGCGCGACGATAATCGCGTTAAAAATCGCACACGATAATAGGCCTGTTCGTTTTGGCTGAACTTATATATATATATAGATAAAACACAGTTCATTTTTGCTCTTTTTCTTTTCACGGTGGAAAGAAAAAGAGCAAAAATTAACTGTGCAAGAAGTTCAGTTAAAACGAACAAGCCTAAGAGTTGCATTTCGCAGGATAATAAATCGTATCATCAAGTTCGCAATTTTAAAGATAAATTTTAAATTCTCTTTAATTTAATGCTGTTTCAGATTCTCTTCAATTATTATTTAATGCTGCAATAACAAAAAATAGATTTCCATATCCGGCTTTCAATATTTTTTGTAATAAAGTTGTGATTACACTTTTTTCGCGCATTTTTTTCTTGTTCTAATGATTGATAAATGAGAAATAAGCCTTGCAGATAATTGTAAGCTTTATAAATAAACATATTATACATTCGATAATTGAGTTTAAGAAAAAACTGATACTTTTACATGATAAATCGTCGAATTTGCTATTAAAAATATTTATTACAGTTTTATGGACAGTAAATTATCGAATTTATTGATTGATGACTATACTTGTCAATTTTATTCTTGATTTTAACACCGTTTCTCCGATATCCTTGAAAAATATTTGATGTAGCGAGATTATCACCGGGCAATATTATCGATAATAAATGCAAAGCTTTGCGGAAACCGCTCAGCGGTTTCTTGTATACTGAGGGACGTGATGTTTGCATTGTTTCATAGTAAACGTGGTAATATGACAAAAGATAAGAGCGTATGTTCCGAAATCAGACGTGAGGACGAACAACAGAACTGTTGTATAATACACGGAAATATATATATCGTAAAAAAAGATCTATTTCCTCTCAGTGTCTCGCGTACACAGTTAAAGTTAAATAACGATTTATTAATAAATTCGCTCCACAAAAAATGGAATCTGATATCTCTGTCTTACAATCAGATGATCGAGTGACGTGCCCGACCGCATAACTTGAAATTTTCCTTGTTTTCTTTTATAAATCGTAGGTATATGTATATACGTGTCTCGACAAGACGTGCGTTGCCTAACGTGCGTACGATTCGCGTAATTACTGCGTATATATCATGATTTGATTAACAGCCGTTTGAAGGCTGAGCATGTACAAAAACGAACGACGCTAATATTACGTTTCGGTCCTCGCATCGAGGAAGCGCTTTCGTGCTGATGTTTTATGGAAAACGCGTCTGAGGCGACCGGGCACGAATTCGTCGCGAAATCGAGACTGAGGAAGAAGTTGCCGAGGAAGAATGCACTATACGAAAATTCTCCAACATTTATTGCTTCTTTGTCTTTTCTTCCGCGTCAATAATCCTATATTATACATGTATCTCACGATTGAGCAATAAATCATTTAAGATAATTCCGATAATTCCAACGGATATAAATAATGAAGGCAATTAAGTAGCTATGTCAGAAGCTAATATTAATTTCCAATATCTGTGATCAAAATGTTAAATTCTCTAAATCAAAACCATATAAATTACTTTTCCTATTCATTTTATAAGTTTTAAAGGAAAGGTTTTGATCGAGAGAAAAAAACATTCAATGCTTTATTTGTATATACATGCAAATAAATATACAAATATGGATACAAAAATATTCCGTTATTTAAAGAGATAAAAAAAATACTAGTATTAGCTGCAAAATTACGTTCTGCCCAGAGAGCTGAGAAAGTCGCTGACGAAAGGACTATCGCTCGATTCATATCGAGACAATGGAAGATCGTATGGAATCGGAAATACTGGGACGGCTGGATCCTCTTCGTCCTCGATGGGAAACGTAGTTGTCCCAGTCTGAATACAAAAGAATTTGAGAAGTAATAATTAATATCAATCGACTAAAACATGCGCCTTTAATACATTTCAATAACACGTACTCATCAATATGTTAGAAATTATATTAAAATAATAATACGGTGCTTACGATAAGTTTTGGTATAAATGCAACGCCAGCCTCGTAGTTCATTATATAATGATTGTTTCGTTGGACTCCCCATGCGGCTTTGCTTAGATTTGCGCTGGTGAGCACAAACCAGGGAATGCTCTTCAAATCGGGCGAAATTCTCGTGTAGGATTTAATATGAGGCATCGCACGATCTCGTCCTGTTCGCTTAGCTTTCCATTGGCTATAAAAATAAATATATCAAATTCTAGTTGTAGAAAAAACGGATCGCTTCTAAGGTATAAAAACACAGGCCTAAAGATTTGAATAAAATAAAAATAAACAAGTGTAGCTTACTATAAGTACGATTCTATCCATTGTTGCTTAGAATGCACTTGTGTACTATAGGGCAAGCAGCAAGATAAATTTCGACAATCAAAGCTCTGCTTGTAATTCTGTATCGACGGGTAAATAAACTGGAAACGTGGATGACTCTTTAAACCCTTAGTAGTCTCTCTCGACATACACGGAATTATATCTTTCGATAACCAGCTCTCAAAGTTTGGACCAAGGCTGCCAATACTGGAACTCTGCGCGACGATGGGCCATTGAGGGGCATCTGGCGGCAATGTAGCGTGACGCGATAAGACGTGCGCTAATTTTTTGTATCCCCAAAAATCGGCTTCATTATCTTTATGAGTCCCAGGAACAGAAGCGACGAGGAATACGTTCACGTCAGAAAAATCTGCCCTTCGTACCGCCCATATCCACTGCGTCAAAGCTGGATGTCTATATTTATTCAGATATCGCTCGAGATCCTTTTTAAAGCCTGTTGGAGATTCCCCGTCACTGGGATTCGCAGATTCTGGTAGCAAGGGCAGGTGAGGCGAGATCCATAATCTAATTAGAACACAATAAAAATATATTTATGGACAAATATCGTACTATTAAGGAATATCTAAAAGTATTTAGCACACCCTTGTGTCCTGTTTTCCCAGTCGTCAGAATACAAGTTAGCAGTGGAGACAATCACCCTGATTCCATCGTCTTTGTATTGCAGAATCATGATCTTCGTATGATGACAACTAAACTTGGTCGGCATATCTACTTCTATCATGGTAATGTTGCTACTTAATTTCTCACGATCCACCCGATCGCCATACAGAATCATCATATCTGTACGTTGGCCAGCCAACAGATACTGCAAACACAGCCACCCGACGTCTACCATAAAATTTAAATGAAGACTGTTAACAATTTCTCCAAGACTCCGGTCAAGAATCTCAGGGAAAGTTATGGAAAACTGTTGATTGTAAGTCTCCCTGGAATTTTCCACTCTCGTGTAGAATAAGTGATAAGGTGCTGAAAAGGCATATTTTATCGCAAACTCTCCTGGTTCCACGACGGAGACCGTATATCCAGATTGTCTCATCATCTGAATGGCCCTTTTTCTAACTTCCTTTCTTGACTTTTCAGAATCGCAAGCTTCATACATATCCATGATAGACGTCCCACGATTTGCATCTCGCTCATTGTTTCTAGAACTGCTTTGAGTGTTGCTGATGCTCTGCTGACTATCCTTAGTGTGACTGCTGCTTTCTATGCTCATCTGTCTCATCTTCTTCGTAACAGAAGAACCAGTTTCTGTTGCTTCCTGACTTCTCTTCTTTGGCTACAAACAAACTTACATTTATTACGTTTACCCTTTATAATTTAATGTTCACAAACTTATTCTCATGTTCACTGACCTTAGTACTTTCCGAGCTCTCCTTCCTATCCTCGCAAGTCAAAGCTCTAGAGAGTGCTTGAGCTTCTGCATCCATTTGCTTGAGTTTATCTTGCCTCTTCTGTACAGTTGCCTCCTTATGTCTCTCTACTTTTTCTTTCAAGTCTTTTTGTCTGTAACCTTCTTTACTTGACGTAGCAGTAGACAAAGATTGTGTTTTAAAAGAGGATGAACTACTGGTTACAGACATCTGGTTGTCCTTATTTCTGTCCCTCTCCTTCCTAAGTACCATTTGCAGTACTTTCAATTGATCTAACAACTGCGAACGATCGTTACATGCAAAATGGAGCACTTCTGGTATTTCTATCGTACCATCCAGCTGATCCACTAGTAATTCCTCCACTAAAATTAAAGTGACAGCTATTAACCTTCAATAATTATATAATTACATGTAATTAAGGAATACAGATAGTTACAATGAGGATGTGACATTTCACCGAAATGAATCGGATTTTTTCGGTAACATTTCTCCATGAAAGGACAACGTTTTTTTTCTGCAACGTTAAATAAATTTTATTACTCCAAAATCCGGAGACTTGACAGGTAATGTATCTATAAATCATCACCTATTGAATTCATCGTAGTAAATGACTGTGAGTGAAGTAATTTACACAGGAAACGTTTGATTTCGATGACACATACGAACGTCTAACTCCAGACTTCTTTAGTTAGGTTAGGTTCAAGGTTTCTTTCAAAAAACAGCGTTCTGTAAACGTAGCGTTCTGTAATTCCAATATTCCAAAGCAATAAATAATTTCACGACATGTCACTCGTCCTAAACTCCACGAACGTATGTACATACAAGCGATACGCCATCTGTATTTTCTTTAGAGGCGGAACTTCGTAGTCACGATTTAACGCTGCAGATAAAATCACCGTTTTGCCTGCAATTCGTGGGCAGAAATATAATTAATTAAATAAAGCGTAATTAAATAATTACGCAATTAATAATTAGCTCTACCGTTCCTGCCGACTTCATTCGGGTTGCCATCATAATTACAACAACAAAAATGTAGTGAAGATATAAAAATATAGAAACGTTATCCAACTTTAGATTTCTTCGATATTTCGAACCATCTTTCATATGCTTGTAAATTACATAATTAACTACAAAAACATGTTAACCAATGCATGTTAACTGCATGGTAACTGATAATACATTATAGTATAAAAAATATAATTTATTTTTAATAATTATCTGTTATTTTAATAGGTAAAGTATCATCGAAATTAATTATTACTCAAAGCTGTGTATTTGCATTTGTAAATATAAATATATCGATTTAATATATAACGTATAAATTTATTGATTATACAAAAATATATTTCTATATTTCAATATATAAAATGTATATTTTTTACTTACAATGTAAATAAAATGTGTATTTTTTACTTTCGTACACGTGTAGAAATACTAGAAATACGTTTTTACTTTAAATATTTAATTAATCTAATATTTCCTGTGATTTTATTTGTAATAATAATATTAATAAAATTATATCATAGTATTTATTATAAAATAAAATATATGTATATGATAAAACTGTAAATGGGCGATCTATTCAAGAATTGTCAAGACATTCCACATAGCACGCATGTCTAAAAAACGTCTTGACGATGTCTTTTAGACATGAGTATTATCTGGGATTATAATAAGACATATATAACTACATATATAACTACTTTTTATGTGCATAGCCTAAATAAGGTATCAAAGTATAACGTTGATAAAGACAATTAAAAACTGTACATTTTTATTTCAATATTGGGTCAATAAAAATATGTGCATTAATAAATTCTATTGTCCAGTCATATATTGAAGAATTTATTCATCATCTTTTACAACTGTTGTTTTTTCGGACACGTAAAGTCCATCCAAAAACTTTCTAATATCCTTATTCTTTACCGTCGTTGACTGTTGAATGAGAGCAGCTAAAATATAGAATACAATGTTTAACGTTGCCAAGTTTATTTATTTGTTCGAAAACTACCGGTACTTATTATGTATTAAAGTATTTACCTGAACGAGATACGTCCTCCAAGGAATTTCCTTCTATGATCAACTCGTCCTTCTGTTTGCCGGAATTTGCGACAGTCACACCTAGTGCCATTTTGACACGGCGTATGAATTTCTCGCCCAAAAAGTTACGGATTTCTATAACTGTATTATTCTCCGTAGTCACGCAATTGATAGGAAAGTGGGCGTATACAGCTCGCATTTTATATTGGTAGCCCTTTGTTACGCCTTTAAGCATATTCTCGATATGCGAGCACACGGTACGAACAGCAGCTAATTCTTCTTTCGTACCGGACCATTTTTCTACCTTCAGTAACCTTGGGCTGATCATCTGAAATACAGAATAAAGAATATTCACTTATAAGACATAAATACAAATGTTGCAACATTTTGATATAAATTGCAAATATTTCAGATGTTGATTTATCATTTATGGGAAATGAAGGGGAATCCAAATTCTCATCACAATGGATACAATTACTCCAGTTTGTTCGTTTAAAATTAGACGATTACTGGAAGACAATTTTCAAGAAACACATCATATCTTTTGTAATAATAATATTCTACTTACACGAATGTCAAGCGCAAGGTGCTTGAAGGATCGTTTCAATACACCTCTTGGTCCTTTCACCGTTACCAGACGGGACTTGACGGTAACAGTCAATCCCTTTGGGATTTTAACCGTTTGATTAGTATCGATTTGCTTCATTCTGTAACATAAATAATTTCATATATTTACACTTTTTGTAATATACGACCTATGCCTAGACTGCCATAAGATATAGTACCCAGGTAGCAGAATAACGTCTAAAGACGTCTAATTGACGTCCAGAGACGTCATTAAGACGTTATTAAGACATCATTTGACGTCACTCTGCTACCTGGGTACTGTAATTATAGAATACAACAGTATTGACAGTAGCAATTATCTATATAGCTGCTAGATTTTTTTAAGTCCTGATAATTATGTTTCCGTTAAAGAATACGATAAATATAAATTGAGTATGAAAATACAAATATGTAGGTGTGTCTTTAATTACAAAAGTTTGAAAACTACGTGCTACAATTGTTTATATTTACTACCCTTTTATCAATAAATATAGCGCTATTAAAAATAAGAACTTTTATTCTCACTGCACAAAATAACTTGTAATAAAAATATATCGCTGTCAATTTGATCGTTTATTGTTTATTGTAACACACAGGTGGAACACGTTCTTCACGATTCTCAATAGTTTACTAGCTTATAGATTAGATCAGGTTAGTAGCGCTTAATACTACGGGTGCATTCGGGGAGACGCTATTAACGCTATAAACGCAAACGCTATGAACTTCGTTCGAAGAGCCAATAGCGCGACAGCGATAGCAAGCTCCCCGAACGCAGCTTAAGCGCCAATAGTATTTCGTGCCTCACCTCGAAAATAATAGCGAAAATAGCGCGAGTGATGACGTCACGCTGCCTTTACAGTGACGTCATCATCGGCTATCACAGCGCCACAAAGCGTCTCCTCGAACAGTTTTGGACGATAATTGTGCTAATAGCGTGCTCCCCGAATGCACCCCCCATGTTCACACGAATCGATAGGATCAGATAGATGAATAGAAGTTGCGTGATTTTTCGCAAATTTGCGTATTAATTTTTCACATGTACCTTCGCTTGTATATGCCTTTATTTAAATAAAAACACATGTAAATCTCAAAGCGACTCGACAATAGACGCGTGTGCACCTCGTTGTTATTAGACTAATAAAAAAAAAAGATAATATTTTGCGGCGAAAGAGTGAAATACGACAATGCGAAGAACACACAATTCGAATTATTATATTCGACGCATCGACGGATTGATGCGGATTCTACAAAATATTTTTCATCGTAAAAACTTCGTTACCTTACCTCCACCTTACCTGATGCCCGTTCTAGACTGGAGGATAAGCCGACTCTCGGCTCATCCGCCTTCTATAGTGTACGTGACATAAACTATACATAAACTATAGATTTTTACCCGTCTACACCACTCACTCGGATGAGCCGAGACTGCCGAGAGTCGGCTCATCCATCCGCCAGTCTAGAACGGGCATGACCTTACCTCGTGGTCCACGACACGACGTAGTTGAGTTGCACTTTCTCAGGCGGCGCGTCGGAAAATGCAACAGAGCAACACACGAAAAAGGCCGGGATGGCCTCTCTCAGGTTTCTCTCTGATTAAATAAAGCGTAATTAAATAATTACGTAATTATAATAATTAGCTCTACCGTTCCTGCCGACTTCATTCGGGTTGCGATCATAATTACTTCAACAAAAATGTAGTGAAGATATAAAAATGTAGAAACGACGTTATCCAACTTCAGATTTCTTCGATATCTCGAACCGCACGAGTCTTAAATCTTTCATATATGCTTGTAAATTACATAACTACAAAAACATGCTAACCAATGCATGTTAAAACTGCATGGTAACTGATAATACATTATAGTATAAAAAATATAATTTATTTTGAATAATTATTTGTTATTTTAATAGGTAAAGTATCATCGAAATTAGTTATTACTCAAAGCTGTGTATTTGCATTTGTAAATATAAATATATCGATTTAATATATGATAAAACTGTAAATGACAAATCTATTCAAAAATTGCTAAGACATTCCACAAAGCACGCATGTCTAAAAGATGCTTGACGACGTTTTTCAGACATAAGTATATTATCTGGGATTATAGGCACATACAGTTGAACAATAATAATTTTAAAGCAATAATTATAAAGCAGTGTCTATCATTCAAATAAAACGCATTCGCCAAATCAACAATGGTGGTTGGTTAATTGCCACGAAGTTCAAAGACACCGACACAAACACAAATATCTACTGTTCTTATTTATACTATAATATGCTGTGCTAGTCGGCTAAAAAATTACTCGTTCTGCCCATTCAGCAGGCAGGATTGGATCGCCCAATTCTTTGGATTTAACAACGAACTCAAGTTTAATACTGCAGACACACACACAGTGACACATTAAACACCCATTGTCAGAAATACACATTTCCGATTTCGCATCTCGTAATTTGTATCTGATTAATATTGCTTCATTCGACACATATCCGCGACTTTGGATTTCTTCGATATCTCGAACTGCACGAGTCACTTGATTTCTTCCTCGGAAAGGTGAAAAATGTCAAAATCAAAATCTTTCACGTGAAATAACCAACTCGTGCGCAGATAATGGTCGAGAAAAACATAATTTACGTTGTAATACGTAAATAATGTCTGACGAGAGATTCGCCATCGTCGCCGCGAGGCACGACATATCCCCCATTTTGTCGGTTGAGGATTATAAAAGATAGGTGAATGAAAAATAAATGTCGATAGAAATTTCCTGCGGATTGTTAAACTGTAAAATCGGATAAAAACGTCCTCTCGACGATCATAATATTCTACATCTCACGCGAGAATGAATTCCTTTCGCGTGCCTTGCATTTTACAGACGCGCGATTCCGACGCGTGACACAGTCTCGTTGATGGATACGCGATCAGATATGGGCGCGTTCTTCGAGAATCCGATGTTCCTCTTTGTGGACGACGCGGAACCCATCGTGCCGATCTTCCGATCCACCGTTTACGGCGATACAGGCAGGATCGTGGAACTGGCGGACGTCGGTTGCGACACGGATACCACGTTTCCCATACATTTTCCACGCGGCGCGTCCGATCGGCGTCGCGGTGGAGCCGAGAGCTTTAAATCGACTCGCAGGATCGCCAAGTGGCTCAATGATAAACCGAACGAGTTTGCTCGAACAGCTGCAGATGTAAATAATGATGAAGTAAGCAAACGCGATCGCGAGTCAACAATAAGCCAACGCTTCAGATATCTTCTCAATTGATCGTAGGGCAGAAATAGAATAAATCACGTCCGAGGAACAACGCGGCGAGATGATTACGATGACATGTACATCGACGACCTGGATTACGATGATTTGTATGCGCAGAGCCCCTATAACAATCTCGAGCTGCCAAGAAACAACTCCCCCGTCGAAGAAGATGACTACTATGCCCAATTCGTTAATCCGCGAAATGCAATCGCGCGTTCTCGTAGGGAACGTATACCGCGGTATGACTACTCGAGAGATCTCGAAGCTTCGTTTAGGCAAAGTATTCGCGTACCTCAAAGGGAGAGTACTTCTCCGCGATGGTTTGCCGAGAACGACGGGAAGAATATCCGCGAAATGCGCGGTACCAATGTTCATTTGAGCGAGCGCAGGAAACGAACAAAAATTCTTTCGAGGCCCAATGGAAGCTTTAACCGCGAGGCGGGTGCGTGTTTTTTAAATATAGACAGATGTTAAGAATTTAAAGTGATGCCAACGAAAGAATTTCTTCTATCGATTCGTATTAATTTGATCATCTTTTTCTCGCAGAATTCGGGAAAGCTCATGAAACAGTAATGCACCGCGAAAGAGATAATCTTCCCAATGCCGCTGATCCCATTGCGCCTATGAAAAATACTTTCTGGGACTTTATTTCATTTGAAAACGATGCAGAATGTGAGGAAACAACTTTCTTCAATCCAACGAGGACGAAAAATCACGAGAAATTACAGAAAATGGCACCGCATGGGAAAAGATCGTATATCTTCGATTCGCCGCCGAAACGCGTAGATACTGTTGATTCGGAAGGAGAAGAAGAGTTTAAGGAAACGTTAAAAAAGGACCGCCGAGAAAACTTATCGCCTGAGATTCCGATAAACAGCGCGCGGTATCGAACTTCGAAAGGCGACACAGTGAAAGAGAAACCCAAGCTCTTGCGATTAAATACATCGAACGCGTTTGCTTCACGTAGTCAATCGATGAAGGCGCCAATCGATAAACGAATTTCGAACGTGTATCTTGCAGAAAAAAGTAAGAATTGCAAAGAAAAAAATATTAAGAAATAATTTTTCTCTTTTTTTTCTTCCCTTTACATTGACCATCTTTACCGATGTTGTTTGTAAGTAGTTTACACAGCACCAGTAGATGTCTCTGCAATTACATAATTTATGCGTTTTACATCACGTTTTCTTCAGCAAACATTGATTTGCAATTATGAAAGAGAATTAATCAATGTAAAAATATAGCAAGAATGTAATATTCTTACATTAATCAATTATTTTATTTATGTGTGTATAATAATAGAAAAAAATGCATTAAATCTTTAATTATTAATTATTATCTATTATCTAAATATACGTATTATACGTAATTCTAAAAATAATATATGTTACATTGTTAATGTTTCTTCCAAGCGCATCCTTCAGACATTTCTAAATACGTCACTTTTAATTTTATCTTGTATCACAAGACAGTGTATAATAAACGTTTGGCATTGTATTTGTTTACTTGCAAGTTACACGTTTCTTTTATTAGATTCAATTAACACGAGGCCGTATTCGGCGACCGAAGGGAAGAAGATCAAGTCTCAGACTACTGAAAGGAGAGAAGAAATCACGAGTGCCACTGTCGACGAGCGTCGGTACCGCGACAAATTCGATAAACTTCCCAATAATCCTCCGAAGGAAACGAGTCGATCGACAGGAACATTTAATCGCATCGCGGACTCGAAGAGCAACGGACGGATATACACGGCGAACGAAAGAAATAACACAAATTCTCATCGTGGAAATTCTGGAAATAGTAAAATGGACCAGATCAACGTGACTGTCTCGCGATTGGCGCCCGAGGAGAAGGTAACGAAGAACGAGAGGACATTCGCTTTGAGAATGACAGGTGCTGCTGCGACGCGCACGGATATGGAAAAGAAGAAAGAAAAGAAATTCTTCTCCAGATTACCCATAAGAACGTGGAAACGCTCGAGAACGAAAGAACCCGTCACATCGCGTCCTGAGAACGACGCGACGAACGGAGATGTTAACCGAAAGCTGCAGCAAGTGGAAAACGAGACTGCGAAGTCGAACGATCATTTGGAGAGGGTGGAAAACGATGACGTCCGCGTAAAAGATCGTGCGCCCGCAAATCGCAACGATGTAAAACGAAGCCAGGGTTTCGGAACAGGATCGCTCAGTGCCGATAAACCAGGATTGATTTTCTCCAATTTAAAGGGCGTAAGAGGGATCAAGGGCTTGAACACGACGAAAGGGACGCACGAGCAACGGAAGAAGAAAACGAACGTCAAGTAGGAAAGGAATGAGATATCTCGGAATGAAACACAAAATATAATTTATACTTTCAATCAACGTTTGTATTAAAGGTTTAATCTACTTATTTGATCTACGTTTCGTCGATTTATGTCACAAATGACAATCGCGTGCGGTATAACTGAGAAAGATAAAGCGACACGATTTGATCGCCCTCCGCTGCGCTTTTCGATCGGTATCGTCCTGTCCCCGCGTCTCATCCGAGTAAGAAAAAGAGAGAAAAAAACGGCTCGATCGAGAAAATGTAACCGCATGGAACGAGACGCGCATAATTGTGCGCGCGTAATGGGGAGGGAGGGGGACCTCGTTGGGGGGTCACCTCAAAAGAAGACTCCCTCCCGAATGATACCAATTATGCCATCAACGTAACACGCGTACGTTCCCCCTGTCGACGGATTCTCTCTGTCACAGCACAGTCAACCTCGCCCGCATGTCACACAGCCCCCGCTTGCGTAACCACCCTAAAGTGGAGCGCCTCGTATAATACCGCGTCACGATTCTCGCTGGGGTCCGTCGCGCGCGCGATCTCCAGGATCGAGGGTAGAAGGAAGGATGGAGAAATATGTAATTGTCCATATTTACCCTTGCACCCGGCAGCGTACTCAAACAACAACACGAAACACCCCCCGTACGGACGTGCGACGTCGATTTAATCCGGACACGCTCAAATATTTTCGTTCTGTCGCTTTCGCGACGGTACCACCCGCTCTCAATCTGTCCCTCCGGATTAAA